TTCATCTTTGCAAGTCTACTTTTTTATTTCAGCAGCTCTTTAAATGCTCCATAATAGCTATTTTATACCTGATAGATGCATTTTCTGAATCTTGTAAGGTCTAAATTTGGTGTTTGTTACTCCTGCTGATTCTCACAGAGACCTACTGCTTTGTCTGCATGATCACCTCGGGTTGGTAGTTCATATTTGCTGGATGTTAACTTCTTGGAACTCACACAGGCCCAGATTTGAGGGAAATTTCTTCCAAGTGTTATTTGCACATTTTTGCCAGTTGAGTCCTAATGATGTAGGGCCATTGTCTCCCTTCTGAACATTTTGGATTAAAGTAGTACTCTGGTTCATTTTCCCCACTTTGCTACAGGACCTCAGGGCGCTGCGTCCTTCCCTGCAGAATGTAACATCAGCACCCCCAGCTCTAGTTTCCGTTCGGGTTTGTCTTTACTCAGGAGAGGCTCCATCTTTAAGATGTCTCTTCCATTATGCAGTATCAGTGTTTGGTTAAGCATATTTTTATACAGGATCTAGTTATTTACTATCAGGAAACGTAGTCTGTCATTTTGCCAGAAACCCAAACCACACCCATTCTTGTAGTTACTGTGCATGTATTCATTTGAGCATTGTTATGCTGTGTGCCAAGTTCTGTGCTTATATTAGACATGAATAAGGTCCTGACTTCAAGGGCACAAATAGTTCAGTGTAAATATGACAACTAATAAAATGAAGATACAGCCCAAGATTTTTTCTTCCCAAAGTTGTTTTCTTTCCCCACGTGTGTCTGAACGGAGAGCAGAAGTGAGACTCTAAAGTTAAATGGCTAAAGAAAATTGTTTGAGTAAGTCCCTGAACACCAACTAATAAAGGACTCTTTAATTAATAATGAAAGTGGGGGCACCCATGTGCAACCGTTCACCCCACCGGAGCTAGGACACAGAGCCTCTGCGCAGCGCCACTTTTCTCGAGCCAAAGTGAGGGGATCACCACATTGACAAGCTGTTTCTTCTGAGATGGAGCCGGAGGAGACGACTCTCTTTTAAACTAGAACTTCTTCCTTTTCTTAATGAAAGGTGCCAGTTTATATTTGAAGCAGCTTGCAATCAGAGGCCCTCCGTCCCTGGTGGCGCTCGGGTTAAAGCACAGAACTGCGAGGCAGGCGGCAGACACTGCAGCACTAGCTCGATCCCCGGCTAGGGCGCAGCAGCCCTCTCTCGTCTCCCAGCTGCTCCCCTCAGCAGTGTACTTCGTCAGTCTGTCTGTTCCTCTCCCCACTCTGGCCTGTACCCCAGTTCTGTATGCAGCAATAAATAAATCTTTAAAAAAAAAAAAAAAAGAAGAAGCAACTTAGCAACTTATAATCGGATTTCCTCCTCTGACCTTTATTCCAGGATGGAGAAATGGTGCTGCTTGACGGGGGCTGTGAGCTCTCTTGCTATGTGAGTGACATCACCCGTACCTGGCCCGTCAACGGCAGGTAAGCCTTCTCCAAGTCACATCTATTGCTCAGGGAATATGGACTGGAATATGGAGATACCGGGAGGAGTAGGTGACTAAAGGTGCATACAGGCTCCCTCTGGCTCAGTTACTCGCCTTTGCCGAGCTTCTGGCTATTACTACGACTGTTTGTTCATCCTGTCAGGATCAGGCACCTACAGCAGCTACTCAGCACACCCACATATTTGAAAATATATGTTTTTATTTTTCTGATGATAAAAATGTTAGGTTATGGTAGAATAGCTTGATCCGATTGAAGCACCATCAGTAAAAATTATAAAACCTGGACGAAATATTAAAAGTCAATGTGTGAAGGCAAAAGTGAGCCTCCAGAACCAGCCAGCAGCTAGGTGGTCTGTCTTAGAAGAAAAAGGATAAGGTGAGATGCGGGCCTTTTGCCTCCAGCCCACTCAGCTCGGGCAGCAGGAAGGAGCAGCCTTATCTGCTCATGTTGTCAGAGGGCAGAGTTGGGTGGTAGCAGAATAGCCAGGAAGCTGGGGGGAGCCCTAGAAGAGAAGGCGCTACAGAGGGAGGCCCCAAATCTGCATACAAAATATCCTGAAGTCTGTGTGGTGTGGAGACTCTGGGCCTCAGGGGATGCCAGCAGCGAGAAATCGACATTCTGAGCAGCAGTTTCAGCTGCTTCCCTCCCAGAGCGACCCGAAGTTGGGTGTTTTCTTCTCTTAGTTTTTTTCCCCTTTTCCTCATATGTCTCCTGTAGTGGCAACTAGAAACCATGGTCAGGTTAGTAGCAGTGAGCATCTCTGGTGCCCATGTGATGATCTTGAAATACAGTTTCTCACTAAAAATGAGGGCTTCTCAGAGCTAATTTCAGGTCAGGAAATTTACAAGCTCAGCCTGGTAGGTCGCATACCAAATAACAGGGGAATTAATAAACGTTGTGCCCAGGGAAGGAGGCTGGACATAGACGAGCACCCGCTGTATGATTGCGTTTAGCTGTGGCGTTCTAGACAAAGCTACGGTGAGAATAACCAGGACGGCCACTGCCTCTGGGGAGAGAGTGGTTGGTTAGAAACAGACATGAGGAATAGTGTGAGTGATTCGGACTCAGTCAGGCGAATTCTCCAGAGACAGACCAGTAGGGCATAGTATGTATACAGACATGTGGGTACAGTGAGGTATTGGTTTTGAGGAACTAGGTGATACAGTTGGGGGTTCACACGTGTCTGAATTGTGCAGGACATGCCAGCAGGTTGGAAACGCAAGTAAAATTCAATGTTGTAGTTTTGGGGTTTTTGAAAGAATTTCTTACTGTGTAACATGGCACTGTTATAGAGCTATATGTAAGTTGCAGGTGTACATCATTATACATCAACATGTGTACTTATTACATCAAGTTCACCACTGAAAGTCCAGTTCTGTCCTCGCCATGCACTTAACCACCTTCACCCAACTGACCCGACTCCTCTCCCTGTGGTCTTAGAATCTCAGGGTTTATTTTTTGCTTTATTTGATTCATTCTGATAAACTAAATTGTTAGTCTTGAGGCAGAATTCCTTCTTCAGTATGAAATGAGGCAGCTCTGGCATTTGAATTCATTTACTGTCAGCTAGTCTTTTGTCCATATTTTGGCCGCCCGGCCTAAAACAGCTGGCAGAGCTCTGGGGTCCCTCCAGCTGGAGCACTGAGGCCAGAATCTGCGAGTGAGCCCTGCTCAGTAAGTTTGGCCTGATCCAGCCTCACATTCCTGCCACCATTATCCGTGCTTCGACGTCCATTCCCAAACATAGTCCAGGTTTTTGTCTATATAAGTAGGAAAAGTCATGGTTCTTTGGGGATCGTAGGGCACCTTTTCATGAGTCACGCATTATACCCAACCTTTCCTGGGCTTGCCGAGAACAGAATCTAGTTCTAAGTCTAGAACCAACAACCTAGGCAGCTAGCTTGGGAGAGGTACCGTCAGGTTTCTCATCAAAACAGGTGGGGCGGAGGGCGACTTTCCCTGCACAAAGGGCTCAGCAGAGTCTAAGAGTCCAGTGTCCCAGCTTCGTCAGAATCGGAATGTCCATCGGTGAAACTTATAGCTCGGTATAGCTCACATTTGTGCACTTCAGTGTATGTTAAATTGACATTAAAAAATACTCTTAAAGATACTGAGAAATCGTGTAACTGATGGAGGGTAAGTACACTGACAGAGGACACAGAACAGTGCTGGTACTGGGGGAGGGGTATGTGCGTCCATGACCCACTGTTTCACTTCACTGCTTCTCCACGGGGGGTATTTAGATGAGACCTATTACGTCATAATTACAGAAAAATCATAGTGAGCATTTTTATACATTCAGCTTTTTCTGAATATCAGATAATTTCTCAGAATGAACGCTTAAGTCAGTATTACAAGTTGAGGGCTCTCCGTGGTGGTGTAATGGGTTAAAACACAGCACTATCCACAGCCACTGCAGCACGAGTTCAACCCCGGCCAGGGAGCTGACCCACATGGTGCAGCAGACCTCTCCTGACCTGCTCCCCTCAACAGTGTATTTCTGTAGATCTACTTGTTCTGCTCCCCACTCTGTCTCTGGTGAATCCTCTCATACCCCCTGCCCCATATATCTGACCTACCCCAGTTCTGGTATATATAAATAAATACATCTTTTTTTTTTTTTAAAGATTTATTTATTTGTGCATACAGAACTGGGGTACAGGCCAGAGGCTCAGGGGCAGTGAGAGATTTCACCAGAGACAGAGTGGGGAGCAGAACAGGCAGATCAACGAAGTACACTGCTGAGGGGAGCAGCAGGCGGGCCAGGAGAGATCTGCCGCGCTACGTGGTCACCTCCGGGGCAGGCGGGAATCGAACTCATGCGGAAGTGGCTTTAGCTTCTCAGTGCTGTGCTTTAACCCGCTGCGCCACCAGGGAGGGCCAATACATCTTTTTAAAAAAAAAAAAATGATACAACAATCTTTAAAGCCTTTGATTTAATTGGCTGTACTAATTTACACTCCCATTGACGACATATGAAACTAGAAATCCTCTACTACCCTGCTTAATTTTTTCTCATTTTTTCTCCATGGTAGCTAGAGGTATTGCTATTTTTTTTTTAAGTATTTATTTATTTATGCATACAGAACTGGAGTGCAGGCCAGAGGTGCAGGGGCGGTGAGAGGCTTCATCAGAGACAGTGGGGGGCAGAACCCACTGACACACACTGCTGAGGGTGGGTCAGGAGAGGTCTGCCATGCCCTGTGGGTCACTCCTTAGGGAGGATCGAATTCCACTGAAGCAGCTGCTTTAACCCACTTAAAGGGCTCTAAAGGTATTATTATCCTAAAGGTACCTAGAAACTAGTGAGTTACTGGTAACCAAAATACTCACGTGAGCACGACATATGCTTTGCCTGTGAGAAGTGGGCCTTAGGCTTGCCTAATTTTTTTTTTTTTAATCATTAAAAAAGATGAAAAGGCTCAGGTTGAGCCTGGCCTGCCCCTTGGCTGCATTCTTCACTGGGTGCATCTCATGTTTACCTGACAGCCTGGAAGAAGAGACTGGCCGCCCCAGCGCGAAGGAGCACTGTGCTCTGCAGGGCAGCCAGCGTGTGAGCAGGCCGCGCGGTGGTGGGCACTGGCTCTGACTAAATGCTGGCGGTGCCCGTCAGCATCGCCGACGAGCCTCCACCACTCAGCTCAGAAGTAAACTGCTGCACACTGCCGTGACCCTATCCCAGGGTCAAGGTCTTCGGTCTCCCCCACCCAGGTTCACAGCACCTCAGGCAGAACTCTATGAAGCTGTTCTAGAAATCCAGAGAGATTGTCTGACCCTCTGCTCCCCTGGGACAAGCCTGGAGAACATCTACACCATGATGCTGACCCTGATGGGGCAGAAGCTCAAGGAGCTGGGGATCCTGAAGAACAGTAAAGAAAATGCCTTCAAGGTACTGCCCCGTTGATCCCAGTTCAGGACAGTTGCTGTGCTAGGCCAGGCCCTGTAAGGCCCATTCCGTGTAGCAGGGGTCTTTGTGACTTTCCTCTGTAGGAGGGACTTAGAGTGACTTGAGTTAAAACAAAGGGAGTCAGTACTTCCCGCCCCCAGAAGATGGCAGCACATTCTGGATCATGGTGCGCAGCCAGCAGAACCCAAGGAAGCCTGGTGCAGACCAGGTGGGAGAGGACTGGAAGGAGAGGTTAACTCCGGATCCTTTTGTGGCGATTTTGAAAAGGTAGAGGTGGGCGAGGGGGAGTTAGTTGTTTCAGTGACACTGAGAGACTTTCAAGCTACTCACGAGGGCCCTTCTTCGCGAGATGGCCTTCAGTTATCGGGCTGGTCTCCGCTTTAAATCAGGGTGCCAGGTGGTCAGGCCAGACAGGCATGAGGGCATCTCTAAGTTCGCACTGCCAGGGTTTCTTTTGTCTCTAGGAACAAAGCTCTAAATTCCTCCTGGGGTAACACATGTTTAATATCCAGAAATACCCGAGCCAGTAAGTGCCCGTAATTGCTCTGATCTGAGGGGCCCCAGAGTTGCTTCCTGAGGATGTGGACGCTGGAAACAAAACTACCCCGACATACTCGTCCTCTCTGTCCCTGGAACAGAGATTTTTCATTCGCCAGAGTCTTAGGGGTTTCCGCTCAGCTATGTGGGTATGTCGGGGGCAGGGGGCAGTGGCCTGAGGATGCAGCATGCAGGAGGCAGGAGGGCGCAGGAGGCAGGAGGGCGCAGGAGGCAGGAGGGCGGCTGGCTGAGGCCCTGCAGCAGCAGCCCAGCCACAGGCCCGCAGGGCCCGACGGCCCTGGCCCCACCTCACACACACCCGACTGTCCTCTCAAGGGTTCGTCCTCTGCTAACACTGGCCATTTTCTTCTCCAGGCCGCTCGAAAGTACTGCCCTCACCATGTTGGCCATTACCTTGGGATGGATGTCCACGACACCCCGGACATGCCCCGCTCCCTCCCTCTGCAGCCGGGCATGGTCATCACGGTGGAGCCAGGTAGGGAGTGTTGCGGCTCTGCCCTCAGCTCCAGGGGCAGCGTCTTGTCGTCTTGTCTCGAGGGTGTCGAGGGTGTCGGAGGAAAGGGGGACCTTGGCCTCACCCGACCCAGCTTGACTAAAGTCGGAGACAGGAAAGTAAATCTCCTGAGTGCAGAAAGGAACTTTTATTTTAGAATTTTTCTTGAGCTTTCTTATTTAACTTCACACAATTTGTTTTAATTTGACTTCTCCAATAAACAACAGATGGGGACTACTTTCTGTAAGTAGATATTAAGAAATAAATCTCACTTTAACCCCACCTTTACCAGGGCCAGTTTGAGCTAGACCTCCCTGAGAACTGGGGGCCCCGCCCCGCCCTGCAGTGGCATCCTGCCCCCTAGGCGTGCAGAGCTTTCTGCCCTCCTGCCTCCGCAGGGGAGGCTCGCATTGCCGCTTCCAGTGGCTGGTGTTCGCAGCATTCAGCAGCTAAGCGAGGGGCGGCCACAGCAGGGTGTGAAGATGATGCTACAAGAGTTGATTTTTGAACAGTGGTGCTGTTTGGCTCAGAAAACAGACCCGAAGCCTGGGTTTCTGTTCGCCTCTGTACTTGTGTGTCACCGGCGCGGCTTCTGCCCCACCGTGAGCGCCACCCTGCTCTGCCTCCCTCCCAGTCAGCGCCGTCCAGCGCTGCCCGCGGCTTCACTACGTTTTCACTGCCCTTGGCTGATCGTTTTCTTTTGATCACGGCAGAATCTGTGAGTGGAGTGGAGGAATCGTCGGACTCCGTGATTAGCACGGGTTCCTTGGGCTCTTAGACTTTTCCAAAGGTTCAAGCCCAGCTTCTGTCTTTCGAGGTGTCCATCAGTTACATTTTTGACTTATTTGCGAGGACTTTTTGCATATTTCTCCCACTTCTGGTTCAGGCCAGCATGCTATATTTTAGCCTTATGTCTTTATTCTCTTGAAGTTCCTCCTTTCCAGGGCAGGGGGCTCGTAGGGAGAGACAGAATGTTTATGCTCTTACTGCTGGCCAGCCCGTACCGACACACGTCACGTTACGGCACTTTCGCAGCCGAGCGGCTCGAGCCACCGGAACATGCCAGAACCCTGGCTGCCACTTTGAGCGTTGTGTGGGGCGTGTTCACCATCGCGTTACCGTTGTAACAACTCCAGTGAGGAGAGCCGTGTTGGTGATGCTGTGGCCCACGCACCCGTGCGGTCCAGTCTCGAGCTCTTCAAGGTTCCGCATTTACGGGTGAAGTGTAACGGAAAGGTTAACTTCTGCCACACACGTCGGCCGCTGCCATGCGTGAACACTGCATTCTTCTTTCTGCTTCTCAGGCATTTATATCCCAGAGGATGACAGAGAAGCCCCAAAGAAGTTTCGTGGCCTGGGCGTACGAATTGAGGATGACGTAGTGGTGACACAGGACTCACCGCTCGTCCTTTCCGCAGACTGTCCCAAAGAGATGAATGACATCGAGCAGATATGCAGCCGGGCCTCTTGACCCCCACTGCAGCGCACACCCCAGGTTCTGGAGGGGTGCCCGCTGTCGCCTGCGCACGAGTGTGGGTGTGTGCATTTATTCGCGGCTGCGTTGGGGGCGTGCAGCTCTCTGTGTGGTTGTGTGTGGTCCTTTTTTTTAAGTAGCTAGGAATTTGGAGAATTGAATTTTTGAACTTCGGGTTACAGCAACTTTAGCAACATTAACTCTATAGACTAAATGATCCAGGCAAGTTTAACTTTTAAAAGTAAAAAGAGCGTCCTTGGTTACAGACGTCTATGCATTCCATGTAACATTTAAACGCACAGAAGATTTCCTGCCTCTCTCTGGCCCTTCCCTTTCTGTGCTTTTGCTGAGATCCACCTACCGCCTGGTCTGCGTGGTGCTTACATTTTGAGCCTCCCCCGAAAGCCCCCTGTTGGTGACTGGGCCCCGATACTCCACAAGTCCGCAGCAGCCAGAGTGGCTCCCCGTGCTGGTGTCCTGCATCCTCCCTCAGCCCTGTTGAGCTCCAGCAGCACCAGCTGTGGAACAAGACAGTTGTGAGCTGTTTTGCTTTTTGGTTGCCGGGAGCCTGGGGGTATTCGAGTTTTGACAAGGAAGGAAATGGAGGAGGAAGAAAGTGTGTGTTCGCTGTAGGCCCAGACTTCCGTCCACCGGTCCTCAGCTAAAATGTGAGACGTCCGTGCTCACCTGGAAGCTCCTTCAGGCCCGACCCTCATGGATACGCTGCAGCTGCTGCCCTGGCCGCTCTCACCAGTCGGAGTTAGAGGATGGCCCGAGTCAGAGAGGCACCTGTGGGCCTTCTCCTTCCCGCTAGTGCTGATCAAGCAAACTGTGGCGCCTGCCAGGTGCGCAGACCTGGCCTGCGATCCTTTCCTTTCTCTGACGAGCGCGGGAAAGGCCGGAGTGGAGAGCCGCGTTTCTGGGGGCTGCGAGTGCCTCTGCAGCAAGGGGCGTGCGGGTGACGCTGGGCTGCAGCTGGCAGAGGGCAAGGGGGCCTCGGCCTTTATGCCAGAGCGGCCGTGCTGCTCAGAGCCTGCGGTGGCCGGAGCCTGCGTCATGCTTAGGCATGTGTGTGTCCCAAGTCAGGGCTGGGGGACGCTCCCTACACTGCAGAGCTGTGCCCGCCTTCTCAGGAAAAACCAGCTACAGAGCACAAAGCAGACAGGCCCAACTCCACCCGGAGCAAAGACAGTGTCGTAAGGAAGGACCCCGCCGCGTCCTGGGGGCGCCTGCCACAGCGCTGGCCTTGTGACCCGCTGGGCCCTGGTCATCACGCTGCCTATCCTGCCTCGCTGGCTCGCCTCAGCCCTGCGCTACTTTCCAAAGAAGGGGGCTGACCTCTCACTCGCCGGGCCGCAGTGGTCCCAAAACCCCTTTCCTCGGAGTGGGTTTCCTTTCCCCTTTACAGTCCTGAGTACGGAGTTTGCGCTTCTTCTTGTGAGTCATTTCTCCACCTTTCCAGCTGCAAGTCTCGGTGGCCGTTTGCTCCTGGTCGGACTCATCAAGCGCGCACTTGCACGCAGGCTCCGGGCGGCTGCTGTGGATTCTGGCAGCCGCAGTCCCAAGCGGGGATCGATGTTGACTGTCCTTTGAGCTCCAGGTTTGTCACAGCAGCAGCTAAGCCCCGGAATCCAACTGCCAGAACCGCCAGAGAGGGCTGTCCCGCGTGGAGAGGGTTTGCTGAGCGGTGCAGGAATCGCTTGCTTTCGCAGCCACAGACAGGCCCGCTTCCTCAGTGTCTGAGTCTCAGTTCACAGGTGGCCAGGCTCCCTCGTGGCAACCCTCGCTTTAAAAGAGGCTTCCGTCGCTCCCCAGGCATTCTCCACGTCCAAGAGCTGTAATGGAGCCGTGAATGATGCTGGCTCACAAAGGAAGCGTCTTTCATGTGTCCACTGCACGAATTGCTGGGTTTTCCCCATGGTCAGGAAACAGGGGTTGTGTCGTGAAACACAACAAAACGAGTCCTGGAGGGAAAATCTCCTCCTCCCGGGACGTGGATCTCCAGCGGGGAGGCGCTTCCCACCAGCCTGGAGCGCTGGCCTTAGTTCTGTTGTTTCCAAACGTGCAGCAGCGATACGTTTCCTTAGCGCTCTCTGTAGTAAGAAGATGGCAAGTAGGAAGCCGGGTGCCGCCGGCGTCCGGACGTGTGAAGTCCCGTCCTTGTGGCACAGTGTCGTGGCAGCTGCCACCAACAAAGCAGAGTTTAAGTTTGCGTGAGGCGCTCCTGACGTCGCCCCACGCTGGGGGCAAGGGCAGTGTGACCCTGGCATGCGTGCTGTGTGCTAGAAACTGAGGCCCAGGATGGTAGGGCACAGGGACGCCGCTTTGGAGTGGTTTTAGGTGTGGTTATTAGTGTTTTTTAGTACCCTGAGGTAGGCTCTGTAGCCCAGAACTTGAGCTGACACCGCCGAGTCTCACGTCTGGACACCCACGGTGCCCCTGGTGAGAGTCGCAGGCAGCGTGACAGCCTGATGGTAGAGCAGAGTCCACGGAGGCCCTGCAGCGCCACGAGGCAAGCGTCAGTGTGGGAGCAGGGCCCCCGCCGGTACCACCGCCCGGCGGCGAGCTTCACAGGAGCTGAGAGCTGCGTCTTTGGTCAGCGCTCCTGCATCTTTACAGGGCTTTTGTACAATTATTTATGTTCAAATTTGGACAAAACGCTGTTACTTTTTAAGAACCTATCCCCTCAAAATCCATGCATTTCCCCAAGGAGGGAAAACATTTGTTACTGTCATTTTAAAAATAAAGTTCAAAACAATGTATATGTGTATGGGATGTGTCTGTTTTTTCTAAGAATCATTTATTTTTCTGAGTAATGATTTAAGGTGAATGTATTCGGGCACAGAAAATATTTGACATGGAAAGTAGGGAAAGTAGGGAGTGAAACGGACACCACTGGCGTGAGCAGCAGAGGCCTGCTAATGTGGAAGTTGCACACACGCACGCTCGGGTTGATGTGTCAACTCGGTAAAGGACGTTCTTCCACAATGTGTGCCTATACCAAAGCATCACAGTGTGTACTTTAAAAGATGCTGGGATTTTAGTTGCCAATTTTTGCCTCAGCAGAGCTAAAATAAAAGTGGTTAACTCCAGGAGCCTTCCTGATGGCGCAGACGTTCGTCTCAGCACTATCAAGCTCTCACCAGCCACTGCAGCTGAGTTCCTGGCCGGAGAGGTGCCCCACATGGCACAACAGACTGCTCCTGGCTCCCCACTACTCCCCTCAGCAGTGTATTTCGGTGGATCTGCCTGTTCTGCTGCCCGCTGTCTCTGGTGAATCCTATCACCCCCCATAACTCTGGCTGTACCCCACTTCTGTATGCATAAGTAAATACATCTTTAGAAAAATAAAAATTAAAAAGAAGGGGGTGTTAACTCCAGAGAACTGTCCCTAGGTCTCAGACAGTGCCTGTGGCACCCCAGATGAACGTGGGCGTGAGCGTTTGCACAGCGTTTTGTAAATGTGACCTTTCTCAGTGAGCCGTGATAAGACTGACAGCCTTCGCCACCCCTCAGAATTCCTCTCAAACCTCTCTAAGGTGTGCTTTCCAGCATTCTCGAACGCTGGCACTCATACAGCTAACTTTGAATATCATGATGGAAGAAACTGGAGGTGGCGAGAAATGCCCACATGTGACATGGAAATAACAATTCATAATTATCCAGGAAAAAATGTACAAAGCTTTATAGAACAGTCTTAATTTACATAACGTTTTCAAAACAATCATTTTTAAAATGTCCACGAAAGGCTCACCTGAGGGTAAGCCCCATGCTCGGTCATTGGCCCCTGGCAGTGGGTGAAGCAGTCGGAGCAGGTGCAGAGAGCCCTGCGGAAACTGGCAAGGGCCTGCTCGCTCTTGACAAAAAATGCCTAACAGTGTGGTGCTTCCTCAGAAAAGTAAAGAGAATTAGCAGGCCTGTAGGTGCACTCTCAGAAGAACTACAGCAGAGGCACAGCTAAGGCGCCACAGTGGTCACAGCAGCACTAGTCACGACGGCCCAGAGGCCAGAGGAGTCCGCCGGGAGCAGCAGAGTGAATGGGACGGGAGCCCACGACGGAATATGAGCCCATTTGAGGAGGGGATGAACGGATACGTGTGACTACAGGGGAGACCCTTTAGCACACTGTGCTGGTGAGACGAGTGTGACTTCTGTGAGGAGCCTGGGAAAGTTTGAGCCACAGAGACAGAAAGTGGAGGGAGTGTGGGGGAGGAAGGGGAGGTTTGGTGGCGGTGAGGTAAAGCAGGTGCACGTGTAGAAGCGGGGGTCGTTATCCCCAAATTAAATAGAAACTAAATGATTGGCAAGTTAATTGGGGGGGGGAGGGGAGAAAGAGGCTGGGGAGTTGCGGGGAGCAGAATCATGACCTGGTGGGGGCAGTTTTAGTCCGGGAAGTTGGTCAAGTCCAGGAGCTGCAAGGGGCAGTGTCGCCCTGCAACCTGCGTGCACTTAAGCTCACACTGAAAAGCAGCCACAAATGTTATGTCACGTGTCATTTGCTACAATAAAAATTTGGTCAAAAGAATGAATGACATCAGCATTTGAGCAGAGGGATAGAGGGTGAGAGGCAGACTGAAGGCGACAGAGTTGGGGTGATTCAAGTGAGTTGACAAAAATGCTCCGCCAGGCTCACAGGCCCACAGGAGTTGTAACTCAGGGGTCCTGCAATAATCGGACTATGTATGAGGGACCCGAATATTTGGGAGTACCTCTGTTTTAGAAGATACGCCCGGAGGAGAGTGGCCAGGAGATGGTGTCATGAAAAGAGGTTGAAAGAGCAGAGGAGGAGAAGGGCAACTGCCGGCCCTGAGTACTGGCCAGGCTGTCAGGCAGGACATTCTATTTCATGTTGCTCCTTTAGGCAGAACCAGAGCCAGTGGGCGGAAGCTGGCACTCTCGGGAATCAGAATCTCAGAGGTGAAATGGTTGTTCCTGATTCAATCCAACCCCCTTCCAGACGGTCTACATAGAGGGAGTGTGACTTGCTTCTCTCACAGCTAGCTGGTGCAGCCAGGCTCCCAAAGACGTTTCCCAGGGTCAAGACTGAGATGCACGTCACGCCAGCATGCTGATCCCACAGCCTGTCCTTGCAAATCACGTCCACTCTTTTCCAAGATACCATTACCTGCACCGTCTCAGACTTAGCTGAACAGTTCCCCTCCATCTTCAAAGAAAACAGCACTCCTCATGCGCTTCAGAGCTTGGCCTCTCTCTGCGGGCCATGTGCTCTTCCCTCCTGCCTGTCACCTGTCCCCCACATCTCAGTGAGCCCCTCATTCTCCACTCCCTGGCGCTGCCCAGTGACATGGCTCCTCTCTTTCCCCAAAGGCCATCTCCTCAGCTGACCCCCAGCATGGGGGCCGGGCCCACCTGTTCTCTGGCTCACGTAGATCCTGCTGCAACCTGTCACAGGTAGGCACCAACATAGAAACGAACGTGTTTGTGGGCCCTCCCAGGTGGCACACGGGTCAAAGCGCAGAACTGCGAAGCTAGAACTTGCACCACCAGGGAGGGCCCTTGCCTTTTCATTGTGTTTGAAAACTGAGCCAAGCAGGATCAGTCTGCTATGGCATTAATATTGCCAGAATGAATCTTCCACAAAGATAACTTCCATCTTTTCAGTATTCAATAGTGAAAGACATTCATGCATTAATGGTAATTCATCTCTCGTTAGATATCAGTTGCAGGTGTTTTCTGGTTGTGCATGAATGCTGGTTAAAAAGAAAATCAGGGGCCCCTCCCTAGTGGCGCAATGGGTTGGGGTGTAGCACTATGAAGCTTGCCACAGCCACTTCCCAGCAAGTTCGATCCCCAGCCTGGGAGGTGACCCACATGACATGGCAGACGCCTGCTGGCCCACCCACTGTTCCCCTCAGCAGTGTTCTTCATCAGTCTACATGTTCTGCTCCCAGCTCTGCCTCTGGTGAATCCTCTCACCACTCCTGCACCTCTGACCTGTACTGCTGCGCCTGCACGGCAGGGATACGAGTCTGCGCGGGGGACGTCAAGGTTGAAGAGTCAACACACGTAGATGGTTGCAGCAAAACGTTCTCTCTCCCCTCTTATCCTTTCCAGCCTCCCTTTTATACCCTTAATCCCAGGATGTTGGCCTGGGGGCAGGAGGAAATCTCCCTCACATGTGCTACTGAGATCGGGGTGGATGTTATTCAGTTGCCCAAAGGTTAAGCCACTCACACAGGTGGCAAGATGTCTTCTTCCTATTATGATCTTGTGCTTAAGCTCCGGGGGTGGTTGGGGAGACTCATCCTGGCTGGGACCCAACACTGTACCCCAGTTCTGTATGCATAAATAAATAAAACCTAAAAAAACAAACCAGGGTGGTGGCACAGTAGGTTAAAGTACAGCAATATGAAGCTATCTGCAGCCACTGCAGCCTGAGCTCGATTCCCCGGCCAGGGACATGGCACGGCAGACCTCTTCTGACCCGCTCACTGCTCCCCTCAGCAGTGTATTCAGTGGATCTGCTTGTTCTGCTCCCCACTCTGTCTCTAGTGAATCCTCTCACCACCACCCCCCACACACACACCTCTGGTCTGTACCCCAGTTCTTGTATGCATAAATAAATAAATTATAAAAAAAAAGAAGCCTGACATTCCTCATGTTTTGAGATCCCTAAATGGTTTTCCACCTTCTCTTTTTCTCAAAGATTTGGGGAACTTCTGTTTGTTTCTTAAATATATCCTGTCCAGGGATTTTTAGTTGTATTTAGAGAGAGCAATAGGGAGAAACATGTCTATTCTACCTTCACAGTAGTGGAAGTCCTGTCTATCATTTAAAAAAAATTAGCCATGTGACTTGCTACTGAAATCCTTCACTGGCATTCCGTCACCAGGGATAAAGACCAGAATCCTCTATGTGGCTGCATTAAACAGTCTTGCAGACCTGTCCCCTATCAAAGAGAACATGTTTAGCAACGGAGGCTTAAGATTTGTAGTGTTTGCCAATTTCCATGATGTAAATACTACTATTTTGGCCAGTTTCAAGCCAGCAACATGACATTGCAAAATATGAGTTGGGGAGATGTTAGCAAGTGACTCTTTACACAGCTGTGCAGTCTTATTTTACATCAGTCTTTCTGGATACCCAGTCACTCCAGACTCAATGCATTCTCCAGCTTCCAGCCCCCTCTGCCTGGAAAGCCACCTTCTTCCGCATCCCTCAGCACATGTGAGTGTGCTGGAGACATCTTGCATCAGCTCACAAAAGCAATTGTTAAACTTTCAAGAATTTTGCAATCTGGCCATTAAAGTAACAAATGAGGGCTGAAGAAATTTTTTGTGAAAGTTTGCTAGCACACTACTGCATCCACTTCTCTTTGGCCCATCCTTCATTCTCATACTGTTTCCTCTAAGAGGATTTGACCTCGCCCCCTGCCTTGCTTTCTACTTCAAAGCTCCCTGTACGTCCCCTCTCCTAAAGCTCACTGACCCTATTCTACTACCTCACATTCAATGACATACGGGGACTTCTGCAAAAGCTTAACATGTTATAGTTGACACAGAGTTAAGTTCTGTAGGTACCTGCACTATTTACTGGAGGGTGAATGGACAGATGGATGGGTGAAAGGAAGAGAAGCAGGTGGAATTGCGACATATTGCACTGTAAACTGAGTGAGACTGAGGAAGACTACATTGTGTATGCCATCTGCGAAAAATTCCAGCCCCACAATCCAACATCTAGGATGTCAAGGCCAGTCACCACCAGGCAAATCTCC